CAGCAAGAGAAAAGCCATTTGTTACCTACAAAAGAGTCCCCATATGCTGTCAGCTGATCTTTCACCAGAAACTCCACAGGCAATAAGGGAATGGCATAAAGTACTCAATGCAATTGAAAGCAAGGATCTGAAACCAAGTTTATCATGTCCAGCAAGGCTATCATTCAAAATAGACAGTCAAATAAAGAGCTTCCCAGACAAAGAAAGGCTAATGAAGTTTACCAACACCATACCAGCATTATAAAAAAATGCTAAAAGTTCTGCTATAATGGGAATAAATTTATATATAGAAAACAAAGGCATAAAGAATTAAAATGCCAATTAATGTGCACCTATCAATAATAACCTTACATGTAAATTGATTAAATACTTTAGTCCAAACACACAGGGTAGCTGAATAGATACAAAAACATGATGCAATTATATGCTGTCTACAAGAGTCCTACCTTAGAACAAAACACACAGGATGAGAATGAAGGCATGAAAACATTTTTTTTTCCATTCAAATGGAAACAAAAAAAGCTGGGGTAGCAATACTTATATCTGACAAATTAGACTTCAAAATGAATGCCATCACAAGAGACAATAAAGGTCACTACATACTACTAAAGGGGTAGCTCCAAAAGAGGATGTAACACTGGTAAACATCTATAAACCCTATATACGAGCACCTACATATATAAATAAAGTTATGGAGAACTTTAAGTGAGAAATTGACAGCAATAGTTAATGATAGGGATTTTGTCACCACACTGATTTCAATGGATAGATCTTTGAGACAAAAATTAAAAAGGAAACAATGACTCTAAATAAGACACTGGCTCAGATGAATTCAATTGACATTTAAAGAACATTTCACCCCAAAGCTGCAGAATATACATTCTTCTCAAGTGTACATAGATCATTCTCAAAGATAGACCACAAAACAAACCTCTATATATTCAAGAAGATTGAAATCATCTCAAGCATCTTCTCAGAACATAATGGAATGAAATTAATAATCAACTACAATAAAAATACTCAAAAACCTTCCAACACATGGAGGCTAAATACCATGTTATTAAACAACTAGAGGCCCAGTGCACAAAATTTGTGCATGGGAAGTTGTGTGTCCCTCAGCCCAGCCTGCAGCCATTTACAATTGCAACAAAAAATTAAGATAATTAGGAATAAACTTAACCAAGGAGGTATAAGACTTATACTTAGTAACCTTTAGGACTTTGACAAAAAAGATAGAGAAAGATATAAATAAGTGGAAGAATATAATTGTGTTCAGTATTGGTAGAATTATCATCAGTAAAATGTCCAAAGCAATCTATAGATTCAATGCAATCCCTATTAAAATACCAAGGACATATTTTATAGATCTAGAATAAAAATTTATATGGAACAAAAAAAACACAAAAAAAACTATAAACAAAAAAACACATAGATACAAAAATCTTGAGAAAGAACAAAATTGGAGGGATCACAATAACAGATATTAAGTTATACTGCAAAACCACTGTAATTAAAACAGCCTGGTACTGACACGAGAACAGGCATATAGATCAATGGAACAGAACAGAGATCCCAGATATCAACCCATGTCATTATGCTCAATTTATATTTAACAAAGAATGTAAGAGCATACAATTATTCAAGAGAGTCTCTTCAACAAATAGTACTGTAAAAATTGTCAGGTACATGCAAAATATGAAAGTATAATAGACCACCAACTTATACTATACACAAGAATAAGTTCAAAATTGATAAAAGATTTAAATGTAAATAGTGAAACCATGGGCATCAAAATCTCAGATATCTGTCTTAGCAATATTTATGCAGCTACATCTCCTACGTCAAAGGGAACTAAGGGGCTACATCAAAATAAAAAGGTCCTGCACAGCAGAAGAAACCATCAACAAAATGAAAAGGGAGCCCACTGCATGGTAGAACATATTTGGAAATGATATACCTGATAAAGAGTTAATATCCGAAGTATGTAAAGAACTCATACAACTTAACAAAAGGAAGATAAACAATACTATAAAAAAGTGGGCTAATGACCTAAATAGACACTTCCCCTACGAGGACATACAAATGGCCAAGAGACATGTGATACCATGCTCAAAGTCACTTATCATTTCTGAGATGCAAATTAAAATGACAATAAGCTATCATCTCACACCTATCAAGATTGTTACCATCAACAAATCAACAAATGGCAAGTGCTGGCAAGTTTGTGGAGAAAAGGAAACTTTTCTGTACTGCTGGTGGGAATGCAGACTGATGCAGCCACTATGGAAAAATATGGAGTTTCCTAAAAACAAAACAAAACAAAACAAACAAACAAAAAAGCTGGAACAGCAATTGACTCAGTTATTCTACTTCTAGGAATATATCCTAAGAAACCCAAAACACTAATAAGAAAAAAAATAGATGCATTGCTATGTTCATAGCAGCACAACTTACAATAGCTAAGATCAGGAAACAGCCCACCAGCAGATGAGTGGATAAAAAAGCTGTGGTACATTTACACCATGGAATAGTATGCAGAAGTAAAACAAAGAAGGATCTCTTATCCTTTGAGACAGCATGGAAGGGCATGGATAGTATTATACTTAGTGAAATAAGCCAGTCAGAGAAAAACAAGTATCACATGATCTCACTCATATGTGGAATCTATTGAACAAAATAAACTGCTGAACAAAATAAATCCAGATACATAGAAGCATAGAACATATTGTGGAATCTTAGAGGGCAGTCATGGGTGGGTGTCTGGGTAAAAAGATATCAAATAAAGAACTTGTATGCATATATGCATAACCTATGGACACAGACAAAAGGGTAGTGAAGGCTTGGGCCAGGGGTGGGAGCAGGCTAGAATGGGTCAGTAGTGGAGGAGAGGGGGCAATAAAAAGGAGAAAATGTAATACTTTCAATAATAAAAATTAAATAAAAATAAAATCCTATGTAAAAAATAAAATAAAAATATAGTAAAAATTCACATATATAAAAAATGAAAGTAAAAAGGTACTCTACAGAATGGGTTTATATACTGGCAAATTATATACAAGCATTAGAGATTAGAATTCAAGCTACTTCCTTAAATAGAATTTAATTGTCATGGCCAATTAAAATTTTATAATTTAGAAAATAGAAAATAACCTATTTCACAGAATTAATTTTTAAAATATATAGAATAGTGGCTAAATAGCAAAAGGAGGGGCAACGGACTTGAGTTAACATTTTCAAAGGAGACATACAACTGGCAAATAAGTACATGAAAAGAAGAACAACATCATTGTTATTTGATTGAGATAATTCATATCTACAAGGATGGTTATTAAAAAATTAAAAATTACATGTGTGGACAAAATGGAACTCTTGCAAACTTCCCATTGAGTGAATGTAAAATGTAGCTACAGTGAAAAACAATTTAACAGTTCCCTCATAAACTCAACAAAATATTGCCATGTGCTCTAGCAATTCTACCTGTAGGTCTATAGCCAACAATTTGAAGACTGAAACAAATATGTATACCTGTATAAAAATGTTCATTAATTAGCATTATTCACTGTGCTTATAAGGTAGAAACAAAACAAATGTCCATCACAGGGTGAATGGATAAATAAAATGTGCCATATATATGCAAAGAAATAATATTGAGCTATGAAAAAAATAAAGTTTTAATTCATGCTTCAATATGGATGAATCTTGGAACATTTTGGTAAGTAGGAAAAGCCAGAAATGAAAAAACAAATACTGTATGATTCCACTCATATGAAATATTGTTCATTGTCCCCATAAACATGTCTTCATACACATGTACATTCACTAGTACATACACACATGTAAACAAGATTGATCCAGGGCATAAGCCAGTTGCCTAAAGTCACAAATCAATTATAACATTTCAACTCAAACCTCTTCTGTCTGAATCATGTATTGCATATATTTGGGAGGAATGTGTGTGTGTGTGTGCGCGTATGTGTGTGCAGATGTTTAAATTGCTGTTTAGTATAGGTAGCTACTACTACAGATTCCAAGTGCCATTTAATGTTTAATGGTGGCATTCTGTAACCTCTCTTTGGAGGCTTGCATATTTAAAATAGTCTAAGCGATGTGAAATGGTTAACAGATTATTCTAAATTTCTTAAAGGACAAAGTTTTCTAGCTTTTTTAGTTTTAACTAATTAAAAAATTAAACTACATATTAGTTTTAATACTTGATAACTACCAGAATTGTCAAGGAGCAAAAATAAAATCTGATGTTTTAAAGAACCTTACTTCAATTGCTAATAACAATGCTACTAACATTTCTAATTGAATTTCCTGCTTAAGCCAAGTACAATGTTTAGTTAGTGTGCATTTTCAAGCTTCTCAATATATTGATCCTGTAAGTCCATGGAAATGTAGAGCGGACAAATGGCCAAATTCGCTTAGCTCATGTCTGCACTCAGGCCTCCTGGACACCAGGAGCACCTCTTAAATGCTAGGCTTTGGTTCTGCTTAAATATGACAGTATTAATGTTTATTAGCCATCAAAGGTATCTTACTACTATCTCTACAGGTATTAAATAAGATGCATGTTCATTATTTTCTCTGGAGTTGTGCAAAATTGGAGAAATGGTCACTTAAAATGAAACATAAGGCCTAAGATTGTTAAAACATCATTGCCCTAGCTCTCCAGAAAAGCAATGAATAAATTTGTGTTAATTACAATATGCCTACCTTAATGCTTTCTGAAGTTCCACTAGGAAAAGAGGTCCCTCATCATTTTCTGCCTTACTCTGAGGCACACAATGTCTGAAATGTTGTTTAAACAGCTGCACTGCTCTCCATAGAAGTGGGTGGACTTCAGTCATGGAAGGAACAGTTCCAGTATTACAAAACAATTTGTGATGCCTTAAGGTTTTTGCACTACATAGATGTGAAATAATATGATTAGTTGTTGCAATCATCATTTCACCATTCATACTTGAAGAGATATTTCCATAAATCAGGCAATGTGCAAATTCTGTCATAGTAAAACATTTATTCATTAAAGTGGTATAGATTATTCAAGATTCTACAGTCTTAAATCATGGATGGCAATGTGACATGGATTGATACAGAACTCGATGCCCAATATAGGCTTATTTCTTTCCTTCTTAAAAAAAAATAGTTGTGGGCCAGAAGAAAAACAATTTGGTTTTAAAAGAGATGAACAGTGATCTGATAGAGCCAGCTGCACCGACATCAGAGACTTCTGCTTCAGCTCCTGTGGACAATTTCTTATAGGACATCAGTTCAACAATTAGCCTTTGTGAATTGAAACTTTTTTTTTTTAATTTTATCCAGTAAAAATATCAGTGGCAACATTTTTTCAGGAGAGAGAAGTGATGCTCTTCAGATTAACTCCAGCCTCTGAAATGAAAGGAAAGAATATATATATAAAAAAGAAACACATAGCTGATAAGATCATGGTTCTAGAAATCCAGAACTTGCTGAATTATAAGAACTCAGGCAGGCATGCCTTGGTGTAAAATACACAGCATTCCTCTGACAGCAGCCTAGACATGCACATTAGCACTTAAGATATTGCTTGGTCATTCAAAATGGTGGATATATAAAATAATTTTATTTTAAAAAAGAATCTGATTGTATTTAGCCTAAAACGCTATGCAAGTCAAAGCCAAATTGTGAAATGGAATTTTCCCTTGCTTTGATGTTTCACATGTACATTCTCAAGAAAAAACAATGATTTTATTCATTAATGTGTAGCATCTAAGTTATAATAAACATTTATACTGATTTTTAAAACATGAACATATTATATAAAATTTGTTTATTACATCTAAAACCTAAGTGATCTCTACCTTTTAAATATATTCTGCTGGGAGTTTAGTATAATATTTAAATTTTATAAAATTTAATTATAAACTTAATGATGGTGAAGACAATTATACATATTCAATAATTAGTTCCTCATCAGCAGGACCAATAGAATAAATGTTCAAACACACAAGCAAAGTTAATAGTTAACATGATTTTAAAAGAAACAATATAAAAACCATTATTAAAATACCTAAATACATTAATGTATTATATACAATATATACTTCTATAATAAATATATAATAATAAACTATAAATATGTTTTCCTCAATGTTCTGAGCACTTAATACATAATACTACATTTAATATTTGTCCAGAAAGTTTATGCTTGATAAAGATGCAAAGTCATTTTTGAGAAATATACAATTTCATACATTTAAAGTAAAAGTAATTTTCTTCTTCTCATTCAAAAGCAACCACATATTTACAACTTAAGGGTTATAAATATATGGCACAAATAAATCATGAAATATAGTTTCTTAGTTATCTACTAAATATTCTATATATATCAAAATGCTGATGTAGATCCTATTTGGATAACTTGGTGATAAAATTATTAAAGTATATTATGATCATTTAGATTATTTGATAAAGGTAGGTAAGATACTGAAATATATTAAAGAAAATATATTTCAACCACTTGGTAATCTAAGTAAGTGTAACTAATTTTGGAACAAACTAATTTTTTAGAAATAATAAACAAGGAATTTACACAATGTTGGAAGATTGTTAATAGATAAGAGATGTGTGTCTTATTTGTAATAAATAATTACCCTGGAAATAACTGAAATGTAGGTGTCACTTATCATATCAATACTTTACCTAGAAGATTATTTTTAAAAATGCAAAATCACTAAATTAGAATGGGATATATCTATATTCCTTTCTGTTGGGTTTATAGCATAACCTATTTTGATGAAGCTGGATCTCAACAGAATTTTTTTGTTATACCTAATATGTTTCCTTTAATAGAAAAATATATAATTCCATTATGCCCAAGTTCAAGTTTCAGAAAGTAGCTAAATATAAAAGAAAAATATAGTGTATAGTATAATTTGTTTGACTTTGTAAATAAACCCTTCCAGAATGGCAAACTTTATTTTAATATAAAAAATTACAAGAGTATTAGAAAGAAATAAACAAAATAGATTGTAATAATTATGACAAAATTTTACAAGAACTAAAAATGATGAATGCGGGGTAGATTCAGGGTGTTTCAGCAATGGCCCTCAAATAACAGTTAAAGGGTATCATGTATAACATGGTGGATAATCTTCTTAAAAGTACAAAGAAAAGAACAAATTAAAGCTACCTCAACATAAAGAGTTGGGAAAATGTCCTGATGTTGAATGGATTGTGGGAAAATGGTGTTGCTGCCGTTATTCAGATATAATTAAGAGCTATGAGAGATTTTTATCTTATATAGTTCTAATATCTATAAAAGAATGAAATGGTTTCTAAAGGCCAGCGCTGACACTAGGGTTCACTTTTTTTCTGATTTTTCTGTAATTTTTAAAAAATTATAAAAATATTTAGATGTTTTCTATATCAGGGCCTATTTATTATTCTTATATTTTTTTAAATAAAAGCATTCAAGAGATATCTGGATCATATACACACATTTGCTTTGCTGCATTGCTCTTATTTCCTTTGTTTTCACATAGTTAATTAGATTTGTTGTTTATTTATAAACAAAACTACTTTTTATTCATTTATATATTACTAGAGGCTCAGTGCATGAAATTCATGAACAGGTAGGGTCTGTAGGCCTGGCAAGTGATCAAGGCTGATCAGGGCCTTCAGGCTGCCAGCCAGAGCCTCTCTTTCTTTCTGCGCCACCCCCTGGTGGTCAGCATACATCATGGTGAGTGGTTGAACTCTGGTTCAGTTGAACTCCACAGGGCACAATTTGCATATTAGCCTTTTATTATTAGGATTAGTTTCTCTAAAAGGTTATTGCATCTGTAGCAGTGTTTTTCTGACAAAGTTAAAAAAAAATACCTTAATTAATGCTAAGCAAAATAATCAGAAATCAAATTTATTAAAATCAGGAATCAATTATCTTAAATATTAGTGTGAGCAATCACAACATAAGCAATGTACACATATTTTGTTGGTCTGAATATAACAGATATTTTTAAGACATTTTACTTAAAGTATTTGCAGTCTAAATGCAAACTAGTCAACTCTTCTTATTTAAATGACCAAATTAGCATATCAATTATTTTACTAGGTTCATTTGAAGCATAAAAATCTTTCAAAGATAAGGTTAATTTACATATAAGTATGAGTTTACTTGTAGAATAATTATCATTAACTTATCACTGATTTCCCTCTCCTTTGCTCTTAACTCATTTAGTGTGATTTAGATTCTCATGATTTCATTATAGAAATATTGTATGTGATACATTTAACTATTTTAAGCTCACTCTATATCTATACACTACAGGAAAGATCTTAAGGAAGAAAGGCACATTCTGGCTAATGGAAATAAAATAAATGTATTAACACTTCACCCTCAGATAAAAATTATCTTAGTAGTTACCTGCATATGGAAAAATACACCTAAACCCCTAAATGGATGAAACTGTTCTGCCCTCTTTGTACTTTCTTTAGAGCTTGATGTTCTATTAGGGACTGTGGTTCAATCAATTTAAAATTGTTGCCTTGGAAACATTTTTATCCATTAAATGGAACATGGGTTTATTGCTTACTTTTATTTTCTATTTACAGAAAGAGCATTTGATTTAGATTTAATACAATAAGGAGTGTCCAAAACTTTGGGAAATATATTTGTGTCTGGGTAGGAATAGACACGTGTTAGAATCATGAAGAAATTATAAACTTAAGATTAAATTTTATATTTCCCATGCCCCTTCAAAAAGAATGGGTCAGCTGTGAGCACAGCTGGAATTTCTGCCAGCTCTCCTCCCTTCATTCACAGGCAGAGCGTCCTGCTGCCATGTGAAAGGCAGGAGATGACTCAGAGCACACATGCCATTGTCTTGGCACAGGGGCACCATGATGGCTGTGCTGACAGTTGTAGGGACTGTAGGCTTGCTGCAGCAGAAACCACTCATCAAATAGCAAGATTAGTCTTACTGAGATCATATGGTGGCTTAAATCCAATAATAGAATGCAGTAAGGAGTTAGGTAACAAGTGAATGATGTCTGGCCACTAAATTTTGTTAAAATACTTCTTTGCATGTGATTTTTTTTTTTTTTTTTTTTTTTTTTTTTTTTTTTTTGCTAATGCTTGTAAAAAGCAAAAAATAATTAGGCAACATGGAAAGACATTTTTTATGACGTGATAACATAGTCATTTGTTTCATAAAATAAACTAAAATGAGACTCAACAAAATATTTTTTAAAGGTGACATATTTCACATATATACATTCATTATGTAAACTTAATATAAAACTTAATATAAATTCATACACATGAATTTACTGCATGTGCAAATGATGAATCACTGAAAGATTATACCCCAGATTATTAGTGTCTGTGTCTAGAGTTTTTAAAGTTGCTATAATTAATACTAATTATTTTAGGACAAAAATGTCATTAATATAAATCTTACTTATCATATTGGCAAATCCTGTGCTATCTCTAGTAGTACACAGACTTTAAATTATTTAAATTCGACTTATAAGAATGTAGTAAATACATAAATAAACAAACTCAATAATATGTAACATGTCCCATGAAATATGAATGATTGTGATTCAGACCGATTTTCTGCTTCCGAATCTTAATAGAACATCTAGCTCCATTCTGGACCATGCTTCCGATGGATTAACCATTTAGTTCCTTACACCTTTCAAAAGATATCTTAACTTTCAGGACACTAGTTGTCCAAAGTTACATGATAAATGAACTTTTTAAATACAAAAAAAAAAAAAAGGCAGGAAAAAAGCTGGGAAGGGGAGGAAGGAGACAGAGAAGCCAGGGGTTAAGGTTGAGAAGGGGAAGAGGAGTGATGGGAACACAATGTACCAATGCACCTTCAGGCAGGGCAGCTCAGTACACAAAACAGAACAGAAAATATGTGGCAGACGCTGTGCTATTGATTGTTTCTAGTGAGCCATCTGCTCTTCCCCACCCCCCACCCCCCGCAGCATAGGAATGAAATCCTAAATTCAGCAAACTAATGATGCATGAAAAAACATTTGTTTGATTTGGAGACACAATTTTTAGTAGTAACCTTCAATGATTGTCCAAGTTATTGCAAAATGTAAAAAACAAAACCAAGATCTTACTTTTATTACCAAGAAATAAATCAATGGCCTCTTTTAGAACTTTGAAAAGCAGGACATTTTTCCTGTGCCAAACTTTAAGCAAATGGCTGATGATTCCAGCTGTTTGAACAGATTGCTAAAGTGCTATTCTGCTCTGGAAACACACTTTCTGATCCAATTAAAATGCAGGAATCAAATACTCATTTGAAACTTAAAAAAATAAAAACACATCAAGAAGAGTAATTTGTTGCTGACAAAAGGATTCCATGAATATTTCATGGATTGTCTTTTGCTCCATTTTAGAGCAGCTTCTCTCATTTTAGATAAGAGAGAAACACTTCTGCTCCTCCACTTTAATGAAATGTAAAGTATCATCAACTCCTCTTCGGATGTGGATGTCAAGGATAAGAGTGAACAGATTCTTATTAAGCCACTGTGTTCCCACTGGAAAATATTTTTAAATGCTCATTATATCACGCATGACACCAGCAGTGACTCAGTCATATCAATGTTCCCTTTATTCTTACAGTATGAGTCAGATATGTTCACTTAACCAGAAATATGTACATTTAGGAATTGGAAATGCACTTAACTGAATTGAACTTTATTCTTTACTGTTGACATTAAGTTGCAATTGAAATTTCAATAAGGTACATAAGCTAGCAAATCAAAAATTTAAAATTCTTTTACAAAAGAAAATATTCATTTAAAGTGCTGATGTAGCCGAAACTGGTTTGGCTCAGTGGATAGAGCGTCGGCCTGCGGACTGAAAGGTCCCGGGTTCGATTTCAGTCAGAGGCATGTACCTTGGTTGCGGGTTCATCCCCAGTGGGAGGTGTGCAAGAGGCAGCTGATCAATTATTCTCTCTCATTGATAATTCTAACTCTCTATCCCTCTCTCTTCCTCTCTGTAAAATATTAATAAAATCTATTAAAAAACAAACAAACAAACAAAATAAATAAATAAATAAAATAAAGTGCTGATGTATGTGACAGATAAGAATCTCACCTGTGTTTCCTGGACAATCTGGTCAATATTAGACAGCAAAGCATCTGGGAATAAAATTTTCAATATCATGAACAATTCATTTTTGAGAAACAGACCCTAAAACACTTGTCACTGAAATCTTGATAAGATTCCCCTTAACAAAGATTTATCCACACTTTTTTCTTTAACTTACCAGTTCTTAGGTTAATTGCAATTGACTTTTATAATTCGATATGGTTACTTACTGGTACATAATACCATAAAGGTAGAATTTTTAAGAATATTACTCTAGTTCCAAAAATGAGTAATTATCAATATGGAATGCACTTTTCCTGCAAGGACTTTAATAGTATAATAAGGCTTCTATTCATTTTCTCTGCTCAAAGTTAACATATCAACTACAGTGTTGCATTTCATTAATATGAAAGATATGTCAAGGAAAAACAAAATCCAAAAGAGAAAATGTAATTTCACAGTATTCACCACAGAGTATGAAATAATCATTTGCAATAAAAGCCATTATTCATTAACCCTATAAATAGCGCATTTTACCATGTACCCATTTATCCGTATAGGAAACAGTAATGTTCTAAATACAAATATTCTGCCTTCAAATGTCTGTATGTATATACTAATTGGCTATAAATGTTTAATAGCATTATGTAGCTCTGTATAGCACACATTCTATATCTTTCCAAAATATTTTTTAAAGCAATTACTTCTACTAGTCATTAAGAAGTGACAGATGATAAAGAAAATTTAGGTATCTCAGGAAAGTCATTCTTAGGGTTCACAGATCAGTGTGATGAAAATAGTACAAAATACTTATAAAACTTAATCACAAACATCCATATATTGTAAATTTACAATGGCCTCTAGGGATTAGTTTTTACATCTCTAGATTATTGAAAGCAATATTAAGATGTGTCCACATTATACAGAAGAAAATGATTAGAAAATTACATTATGGCCGAGCCAACATAGTATACTATATAATAAAAGGTTAATATGCAAATCAACTGAATGGCCGAATGACCAGTTACTAAGTTGTGCACTGACCACCAGGGGGGCAGATGCTCAATGCAGGAGCTTCCCCTGGTGGTCAGTGCACTCCCACAGGGGGAGCACCACTCAGCCAGAAGACGAGCTCATGGCTGGTGGGTGCAGCAGCAGTGGTAGGAGCCTCTCCAGTTTCTGAGGCAGCACTAAGTAGCAGTGTGCTGAGCAGTAAGGAGTAGCAAGGAAGCAGGCAGTAAGGAGAGAGGGGTCCAGGACTGTACGAGAGATGTCTGCCTAATGGCTTAGGACATCCCATGAGGGCTCCTGGCGGACATTCCTTTAGGGCTCCCAGACTGCTAGATGGTGCAGGCCAGGCTGAGAGAACCCCCCTACCCCTGGTACGGTGCATGAATTTAGTGCACCGGGCCTCTAGTTTGCAATTTTTGATAAAATTGCAAAGTTTTAACATTATTTTATCTAGGTAATTTCATACTTAAATATGCACCTAGTAACAAACTGCTATTTCTTATGTCCCTCTTCATATAGTACCACATTTTTAGTATAACTAAATTGCAGTAATATGTTTATCATTTTTTCTATGTTGAGTGATCCTCTGTACTGATACAAGAAGGATAGTACTGCAAAGCAATAACAACAACAAGCATGAGCACACACACACAAAAACAACCTAAAACACAAAAAGCAAAAGACAAAATATTTTTTTTATAATCCCAGCATTGTTAATCTAGGATGAGAGGGAAATGATTGAGTAATCTTAGAGACTTTCCTGCTTCCAAATCTTGATAGAACATTTATTTAGGTGTAAAATTCCAGTCATTACATTTGGTTTATTTTCTCTTTTAACCAAGAAATTTTAAAACTGAGATATTTCTTACCCATAACTGTAACTCAACTAACATTTACCTCACAAACATAAGTCATTATTGTCATTATTATTATTATCACCATCAACTGAGGAGGATAAGAAACTATGCCTTTCCCATCTAATCCATCTCTCTGTGAAGTCCTCTCCCCCAAACACTTCACACATAGGCACCTCCACACACAGTGGCCTCATCCTGAGACCCATGAAAAGGCTTTTCAAGGAAAAGGAGTAAATAGTTTTTGTTTTTTTTAATCTAACTGAGTATTGCCTTTTTAGCATTATAGAATGGAAGTTGAATTCCATCACACCGAGAAGAGAATGGGCTCATATCTGCAGTCTTTGTTGAAAAACATCCCATTTACCTTTGCAATTATATGTACAAGTTGTTTCATGTTTCTGGAACTTTGTTAACTATTGGTATTTTAATGATTGTTTTTAAGTTTATTATTGTGAGTAAACAGGGGTGAAATACTAAAAGTTAGGAAATAAGAGTCAATTGATGTGAACTTTGTGATAATAGTTCTATTATTTTTAGCTTTATAAATGAAACATTTAGTTTTCCTTCATTGTTAATACAAACAAATAAACTAAATTAAAATTTAGTTTGGAAGTAAGAATTTTATGAGTGCTTTCAGATAAAGTAGAACATACTTGACAAAAAAAAAAAAAAAAAAAAAAAGATAAATGGAATACGTTTACCTTAAACAAATTCCTTAAATTCTTGTGGAGAAAATATGTATTATTCTGCAGTAGTCTTGTTATATTTATAGATGATGTACAATGGTCCCACAACTTATATTCTAAAATTTTAATAAAATATATATCTATAAATCAGCTGTAATAAATAGTTTGAAAATATAAAATAGGTTATTATGACCTCAATTTTACTAACTATATTTAATGAAAAAAACAACATAGGAAATAAATTTGCCACAATGAGGATGTTAACAGTATCTAATTTACATTATTATATTTATTGAACTTCTATATTAATCTATTTTAGATTTAAAATAAATAATATTCCCCAAAACAAATCTTGTTTTCTTTTAGAATTTTGAGGCAACTTTCAATGCTTGATTATCCCTTCATGACACTCAGATATTATATATACTTTTTAAAAAGTTCTACTTTAACAAGATTTTGATATTTTCAAATTAGAGACAATTATTAAAAATAAACAAAATACAGCAAAGGAGCCCTAACTGGTTTTATTATCTTAATAATTATCTTAATAATACCAGAGATTCCTTCTCTGGGGATTCATTTATTTAAGTCTCAAAAGCTTTTCAATATTCATGATTTTTAAATATTATGTAGGTAAAAACTAGAAAGGGGTAAAATAATATACTTTTCTCAATCAGCAACACCTAAGAATTAAGTGATTCATGTTGCATTAAAATATTTAGTTATATAACATTATTATAGAAAGACAAATATCATATGATCTTATTTATATGTGGAATCTACTAAATAAAAGAAAATGAAACCCAAGTTCATTGATATAGAAAATGGATTTGGTGGTTGTCTGAGACAAGGGAGGGAAGGGAGGGCAAAATGGATGAGGAAAGTCTAGCAGGACCAACTTCCAGCTATAAAGTAAATAAATCATGGGGGTGTAATGAACAGCATGGAGAATATGGTTAGTAACACTGTATGTAGATTTGAAAGTTGCTAAGATAGTATATTTTAGATGTACTCATCACAATAAAAAAAAGAATTCTATAGTAACTGTGTGGTGATGGATGTTAGATTGTTGTGGAGATAATTTCACAATATATACAAAGATGGAATCATTATGTTGATACCTGAATTATACAAGAAAGAAAAACAAAGAAAAGCATGTCAACACGAGTTAAAAATAAATAAAAATACGTAGTTGACATTAGAGCATTATGACAGAAATAGTGCTGAAAATACACATAGTGTTTTGATTTTATAAAGTACTACAAGATGTGATCTCCTATATTCTTCACAAGAGCTATGTAGCTGACACATGCATGCTGATTTGATTTTAGAAATTGTGAAAGGCAAACTTCAGAACCAGAGCAGATAAGGCACTTAGGAAACAGCCAAGCCAATAAAAGCCCATTAGACAATTATTTTCAAGACTGGCCTGGAAAGTAATCTCTAACTGCTTTAATCTTGCCCTCTTTTTAATGTCTTCATAATGAGACGTGTGATAAGAAGTACTTCTGTAAAGTTAAAATTAATGGAAATTTTTATATATGCCTCTAACAGAAGGAAATTAAACTAATGATTGACATTCTTTAACTGTGCTTTGAATGGTATTTCAAGTGATCTGAGTTAATAAAGGCTTATTATACTATGACTATTTTTTTCCTGCAAGTTTCCTACATGAACCTTATTCTCAAAACAAAACCAAAAATGAAAAAGCCTTAATGTTAACCCTCATTTACCAATCTTTAATAAGAGACCATCATATTAGTGTATAATGCTGTAAGGTTTTCAACAAGTTCATAGGAACATTTATCTGTAGACCTTGATTTCAGTGAATATAAAAAACACCACATTAACAAAGAGCAATATTATTGCCTGACTAAATTTAAAATATTTTTTTAAGCAGTGTGATTTCTAATTACATTTCATTGCAGGTTTTTGTTAAAATAATAAGTGAAGTTACTCTAAAAGTTAAACATTCAATTCAGAATCACAGTGTAGGAAGAAAAAATGAAACCACTATCTGGTTAATGAGCGATGACTTTATATTGTTTATAAATGTAATAAGAACTTCATTTAAAGTTTTTTAAATTACCTGGTAATAAAAATAAACATCCCTCTGATAGAAGCAGTTTTGTATTTTTATCTCCCTTTTTAACTTACATTGAGAAAAATATAAAACTCATTCATTTAGCAAATGTGTATTAAATGCAATGAAAACACTTTCATATGCCCAGGTAGATGCATATAAAATTGTGGCATATAATTTAAAACTGAACTGGATATTTTTATAAATGCAAAATCAATGGATTTTTTTTTTTTTGCTTCCCATTGAAAAAGGTATGTTCTAGATGAGAAATGTCATAGAACCATGAAGGCGTCAGAACCAAAAATGTTTTTCAGAAGAGTACTTATTTTATCACTTGTCTGGATATACTTATTTAATTTTTATTTTAAATAACATAACAACACAAAGTTGTTCTCTATAATATTTATCTAAAAACACATACCACTGTCATTGATAGAAATAGGCAGTCTATTCACTGAAAAATACCAATTATTTATAGGTAGTCCTTTTAAGACTGGAGGAGAAATATCATTATTTATGCAATATTTTATTTTTCCTATGGCAACTTTCATTTTGTAATCTGCTATTGCAGAACCTGGAAGCCAGTTCTTTTTGGGAAAGGCACTGCTACTATGTCATGCTTTTTTCCTAATCATTTCCATATATATATGTGTGTGTGTGTGTGTGTGTGTGTGTGTGTGTGTGTATATATATATATATATATATATATATATATATATATATATATAAATGTGTGTGTATATATATATATATGTATATATATATATATATATATATATAAATGTATATATAGATAACTGTATACTAGAAGGTTTATACACCTTGGTTCTATTAGCCATGTGACAGAGAAACAAGACTGAAATTTCAAATTCCAACTTCCTATGTGAGTTCTCAAAATAATTTTTCATTAAAAAAACCAAAAAACACAAACAGGTTACACAGTGCTTGTGAATATACACTCAGAATTTGAGAGTTGTCCTTCCACTACGCCCATCAGAACTGTTGGGTTGAATTAACATCACATTCATAGACATGCTTCTTTTAGAAAATAGTCCACATGTGCTCGGTGAGTTAATATAACAATAGTATTCCTTTAATTCTCCATTCAGGGAGTACCTGTGCCTTGCTCGGGACTTCTCAGCGGGCAAAGTGAGAAACTTACTTGGCTTTGAATGTGCTCTTTTAGATGCGGGCCCCTCTGTGACAGAATCAGGAGGTCGACTAGCTAACTGCAATGCAGTAGAGTTGTTCCTGTTAGTGTTTTGGGACTCAACATTTGTGACAGCTTCATTCTGCGGTTCGGTACTTGGCTTTGTGCCTGTCTTTCTTTTCTGCTTTTGGGACACAGAAGTGCTTGAAGTCCAGGTAGGAGGCAAAGCAGAGGTAGTGGTAGAGGAGTCCTGACTCGAACAAACTTCTGAAGATTGTATCACACTGTCACTGCCAACTTTACAACACGGAGCACTCTCTTCATGCCCCACAGCTTGCTTGGACATGGACTGGGGCAGCGTCACACTGCAGCCTTGCATTTGAGCCCCATTTGTTTGAGAGTAGACATTGCTGACCTTGGTGACCTTGTGTTGGCCATTATTGTTACAAACCTTATACCGGATCATTAGAATGATGATGAAAACCAGCACGGATGCTACAATTATTCCACCAATAATAATAATCATGGTGCCTCCCAAAAATTGGGATTGCATGAAATGGCATCGCACGTAATCCTGTTCTGTAGTAAACTGGATGCAACCCACGACTCTTGTGGCAGTGAGAGAAGTGATGCCATCATCGTATATTGCCAAGACACACAAGTCATACATAGTTCCAGCAGCCAGGTTATTGACAAGAAAAGTTTTGCTCGTAGGAGGTATCATTCTGAGGGACAATGGAATTTGTGTTAATATTAAAAAGAAAACATATATACACACAGTCATTATGACTCCAGCTCTGTTTCATTTCAGCATTCATTAGGATAAGCCCAATAATAACAGACATGAAACATGGGAAAATGATCTAATCTTACCCCAGTTAAAATGGCTAAAAGTTAATGTTGTATTCTACACCATGTCTTTGAAAAGCTTATCAATGACATTGCTTGGCAAAGCAGAAGTCCAAATAAAAGCCTCTGTTGAAAAATAACTTATGACAAATTGCTTTTGAAAGGTGTGACTGTGACATTATCAGACTGCTAAACAAATCCATTTAGTACTTACAACACCTCTGTGACTAAAAGCCAATTTGAAGGAAAAGAAAACACTGACTATCACATTAGAAACCAGAATGGAAATGCATTTTGAAGTATTTATTTTTCAAATCAGTTATAAGTTGCTATGGAATGACACCCAGTAAAACTATCTTTAATAAATAAGATCATTACTAACATTAAAGTATTTTTTAGGACTCTCACTCCTCTCTTAATCCTTCAACACTTGGTTCCCTGTATGTTTTTATATGAATATAAGGTGGATGAAAATGTATGCCTGATAGCCTACACATATGAACAGGTCAAGACTATTTACCAGAGAGAGTATAAATCCCTCAACCTCTCCATTGTGGGATGATGGAGTTACTTTCAAAACAGTTTCTAAAATTTGATGAGTCTATAGATATCTCTGAATCCATTACATTACAAAAGTCTTCTGTGGAATATTTTCCAATAACTCAGTAGTAACTTACACTATGACCAAAACTTATATTTAATGTGGGGGGGAAAAAGGCTTAAAACTCTTTTTTCCAAAAAGAGAATTTTGGAAAAACTTAGCAATTCTAACATGTTGTACAACCTAACAATACTGTCTAACTGTATCAGGAAACTCTTAGGCCAGAGTATTTATTTGTAATTGAAATTACTATAATTTAGTGAGTGCTAATAAATAACAGACATTTCTAAGCATTTTATATACATTATAATTTAATTTTTACAACGACTGTATGAGGTAGGCATTATCACAATTTTATACATGACAAATATTAGGGACCATTTCAAGCTATTTCTTTAAATAGAATTTAATTGTAATGGCAGGATTAAAATCTTGAAATTTAGAAAATAGAAACTAACCTATTTCACAGAGTTAATGTTTAAAACATATAGAATGTGTTATAGCTACAGGAAAGTAAGGGGATAGAGGTAGATGTTTGTCTTTCTCTGTGGGTTAAATAACTCATAAATAACTCATAAATAACTCATAAATAGCTCAGGAGAAGAGCTGAGTATAACAAAGACCCAACCTACTTTATACTAACATACATGAATCATAGTCTGCATCCCATATATCTAGTAATAAGAGAGATATTAGAAACCGTTTACCCTAATCTCTTCCTTTTAAAGATGAGGAAATTAAAACTCAGCCAGGGCGAACCTTGCCCAGGATTGATCACATGACTAGCTGGGCTAGTTTTGTTTTTCCTACCAGCTTATGCTCACTTTAAAAAATTTATCTCATTTCCATACATGAGGAAAAACCAAATTATCTTCAAGAATTCACATAGGTATGAAAGAACTGAGTTGATCTGATTTCACAAAAGATATAATTCAAAGCCATAATTTTGCATCATTTCCCAGGATTAATAAGAATCTATCATGAGTGAAATTATATGAAGGGATAAAAAGGTATATTCCAACTGAAAATTGGACAAGATGTGACTATAAATCAATGAGGCTGAAGTTTAGAAAAACATACCAGAAATTCTTTAGTCAGATGCAAATTCTCTCCATCAATGTCCTTCCAGGAGATTAAATATTTATCTTCAGTGATACTCTCACTGCTCAAAATATGTATGAAGTTTCCCTTTGGAACTGTCTTAAGAACCCGTGTATATGAGACAACACATCACATATACATAAGTCAGTCACTCAAGATATCAGTCTCATTATTTTATAGTTACATCCTATTTTTGACCAAAAATGGCAATACCCATCTTGATCACCCACCTTATTCATAAGACTTGGCTCCAAATGGCTTTTGCTTGTTTCCAAAATTCAAATTCACCCTCAAAAGACGATGATTTGCCACCACTGAGGATATTCAAAATAGTATGATGAAGTTCTAAAGATAATTCCAAAAGTGCTTTGAGCAATGGCAGCATCATTGGGATAATGATATAGCCTCCCAACATGACTTCCTTGAAGGAAAGAACACTCATATGGATATGTAAGTTCTGGTATGTTTTTGACTTTTTAAAATAAATCAATCTTGTTCTCTGATAGTCACATCTCTTAGAGGAGGGGGGAAAGTAATCATAATATTATATATAAATTTGAACTCTCTTAACATAACACCATTCAAAATAGTTTCCCACATTAATTCATCTTTCAAAAGCCTCACATTTTAAGCCTTACACTTAAAAATGAATTAATATAACTACAATATAGTGTAGCAGTGACAAAAATATCAGAATACCATAAGAAGTCCTACACTAAGATACATGGCAAGTATACAAATTTGCTTAATTTTTCTTACCTGTAAACAAGGGTGTCATCATAAGTACCATTGTACTGGATTTGAAACATACGTATTCCAGGAATATTTCTTTGAAAATTAAACTTAAGTAATGCAGTAGATGACGTTGCTTCTGCCACCACAATTTTATCTTGACTCATTTTAGTGTCACCATTACTAGTGCTTGCATTAGAACCTGACTTAGTAGAAGTTGAAATATCTGAAGAACCAGGATCAGGCTCATGGATGTGGTTTGTACTGTTCAGTAAGTGAGGGAGCTTAATTATGTGAAGCTCCACTGTTTGTGTGGCTTCCCCCGCAGGATTGGAAGCTATGCAGGTAAAAGCACCCGTATCCTTTACAGTTGTTATCATGATGTCCAGTGTTCCATTATCATACACCAGAGATCTTGTTGCATTTGAAATCAGCTTCCCTTCAGGAGAAATCCAGTGGATTGCAGGTTCAGGGTCTCCCCTGGCTTTGCATCTCAGGGTTGCCCTTTGACCCTCCAGGACTCTCATCTCATGTGTATGGCGAGTAATGAGAGGAGGCTCACACAAAAACTCTTCCTCAGGAATTGACCAAAAATAGCGACCAGTTAAAAGTGCTGGAGAAGCACAAGTCTCTAGGTCATCTTCTCTGGACAGACGTCTCAACCACAACAATTCACAATTGCAGTGCAAAGGGTTGCCACCAAAACTTAATGCAAACGTAGACGGGTTTATGATTCCTGAGGTCGCTAGTACCTGAGCTCGCTGGAAGAGAGGGTCAGGTGGTAGCTTCTGCAATTTATTTGATGTTACATCTAGCCGCGTCATCTTGTGCAAGTGGGAGAAAGTCCCCTTGGGAATGTTATCAATCATATTGTGATCCAAACTAAGGGTGTGCAAGCTAACCATCTTCTCAACAGCATCCCAAGGGATTGTTTCTAAATTATTATAGGACAGATCCAGCTCTTCAAGGGCAAAGACATCATCGAATGCTGTAGATGAAATTAAAGTCAGCTGATTGTTGTTCAGTATCAAATGATGGAGATTGGAAAGCCCACTGAACATATCATTTGTAATTTTAGTTAATCTGTTGCTATTCAAATGCAATGCCCTCAGATTTCGTAAGTCAGCAAAAGCATGCGGTGTAATAAAACTTATTGTATTCCTGGATAGAGTCAGGTCCACCAAGCTGGTCATATTGGCAAAATCTTTCCTTTTAATATTTGTAACAAAATTGTCTGCCAAGCGCAGTTCCACAGTTCTTCTGTCAATGTTTGGTGGAACAAATAAAAGCCCTTTCTTGGCACAAAGGGTTGCAAGATTAGGAGACAAAATTTGACAGACACAACGCTTTGGACAGATCTGAGCTCTCACTGCTATGCCAATGAAAAACAGATAAAAAAGGAATTTTTCCATTGTAGATCAGATTTAAGAGCCTGTAAGAAAAGACGAAATGTAGAGTTAGCATTTAATAGTTTCACCAAGGTTTGTATTCCTATTAGAATAATCTATTTTGTCTCAATTAAAACACAGAAACAATTTATTAATTTAACAAATAAGTATAAAATGCCCACTCTGGACCTGAGGATATTATGGACACTAAGATATTAATAAAAAAAATATATACTATTTATAGCCACATGGGATTTAAAATCAAATGGGGAAAAGAAGTCAATAGATTACTATAATTCTGTAAATTGTTATTTTTAAAATATGGTCAGGGTGCATAGAAAAAGGTATTTAGCCCAAATTGTAAGGTAGGAGTTCTGGAAAACTTCCCATAGAACCCAAAAGGCATACGTTCAAAAGCTTAGATATATTTAAGGATTTGCAAATATTTCAATTTTTTGGCCTGAATAGAAACAGTGAAAGACAATATTTGTTATTGTTAACCTTATGGCATTATATTAGAAAATAATTGTTATTAAATTTTATTTTTCTTTATGAGTTATATTAAACATAATACAACGTTCACATTCTAACAGTAATACACAATCTTATTCTCAAAAATAAAAATGCTGAAAATTTACCATAAATGCTCTGGCTTCTATAATATTAGAACATTTTATTTGATATAAACATGTATTTATTTATTTATTTTTTTAGTGTGTTTTATGTGATCACAAATGCATTATTCTTTTTTTTTAAATATACTTTTTGAAGATAAGTTATCAAAATACTTGGCAGTGAATCCAAAAAGATGCCATATTCCACTTTCTTTTTCTTAAAATCTTAATGAATTTACATTCATCCAAATTTAATTTAAAAGAACCTGATGCTTTCATTTTCAAGTTTGATCTTAAGTTTTTGCTCTTGAAATTAATGCTCAAAACAAAAAAATATATTAATATATATATAATTAAAAATTCTCATACTTTACTAGTACATGTAGTTGTACAAGCCAAAAGGAGAAGTCATTAGAATTCTTAATTGAAAAAAAATATGAAATAAGGAGTTATTCTAGAAATAATGCACCTGGTTTTCCAAAATAAAACTTATTGTTGTAGGTTCAATTTACTTTATGCCTATTTTATGCCATATTAAATGTGATTGCAATAAGTAAGGATTGTCATTTTTAACAAATGAAATAGAGTCATACTCTAGGTTTAAGATAGAATGACTAGTATTGTGTTAGCCTTTCCAAAATAAGCAGCAAAAAAATAAAAATATATATAAAACTATAGTTTTCAGACATCAGAAAAGAGGAAATACAAAACTTTGTTCCTTGAGATAAGTGAATTAAAAAAAAAAGAAATCCCCATTATTGCTCCTAGAGACACTTTCTAAACCACAGCACAGAAGGGAAAACAAGGCAAAGCATCAATGGTCTTAATTAATTGAAGAAACAGAGACTGGAGTGCAGAAAGTCTTCAGTGGCTTGAATGTATAAGGCAGAGTAGCAGAAAGGCGAATTTTCAGAACACCAGTAATCTCAATATAGAGACAGGGGAGTGAATACTAGCCAAAATGAAACACTGATTAAAAAGAAAGATATAAATAAAATTAAACAAGACTCAGTCACCTGTGAGAAAATATTAAGCAGTCAAACATACATATAATTGCATTATCAGAAGAAGGCTGTAAGGTCAAAATATACTTGAAGAAATAACAGCAAAATTTGTGATTTAAAAAACAGAAACAATCCCTAAATCTAAGCTCAAAATAATAAAGACTACACCAACACACATCACAATTATACTGAAAAAAAAAGTATTAAAAACAGTCACATAAATAAGACACATCACAAGAAGATAAAATGGACAAAATAAAAATAATGGCTGACTCCTCACTGACTTTCCTTAAGAAATAAACCAAGATGGAGGACTAAAAAATATTTCTAAAGTGCTTCAAGAAAAGAAGGCCTGTCAACTTGGATGTGAATTTAACCATTAATAAAAGATCAAAGTAAAATAAAGATATTTTGAGAGAGAAACAAATGGAAAGATTCATCACCAGTGGAACAGAACTATAAAAAATATAAAGGAATTCTATTCAGTCTGAAAGAAAATTATATCAGATGGCATCTTTAATCTTTATAAATGTATCAAAAACAACATAATTGGTATATTTTTAAAAAAATATATATTTTATTGATTTTGTACAGAGAGGAAAGGAGAGAGATAGAGAGTTAGAAACATCGATGAGAGAGTCATCGATCAGCTGCCTCTTGCACACCCCCTACTGGGGATATGCCCTCAACCAAGGTACATGCCCTTGACGGGAATCGAACCCAGGACCCTTCAGTCCCCAAGCCGACGCTCTATCCATTGAGCCAAACCAGTTTCGGCCATAATTGGTATATCTTAATGAATTTACATTTATCCAAATTTAATTTAAAAGAACGTGATGCTTTCATTTTTAAGTTTGATCTTAAGTTTTTGTTCTTGAAAATAACATCATAATGCTGAGGATGCAAATAAACTTAAAAGAACTATATTCCATGAAGTGAATCCTCTATGAAAGGGGAGCGATCCATGGATGGTCTCCTATTTTCCCCACCAACAGAAAGGTAGAATGGAGGATCCACCACTGTTGTTCTTCTCCTTCAGTAATATGTGATGCTGACTATTCTGGATCATCTGAATTTTAGATTCATTTGTCAACATCCATAAAACAGCTTCTGAGTTTTAAGAATATTTTTGTATGCTAAGTCCTTTATCAGATATGTCTTTAAGTACAGTAATTTCTTCCAGTCTCTGGCTTAGGATTTCCGTCTTCTCGAACAACTGTAAATAGACCTAGTCATATGATAGCAAGGTTTCAAGTGAGGGCAAGTGTATATAGCACATGTGTCAAACACAAGGCCCACGGGCCAAATCCGTCCTGCCAGGCCTTGCAATGTGGCCCGCACCGCGCTGTCATCACTGCACTCCGCTGCGTTTCCATCACAATGACAGTTTATGACTGTTCAGTAAACCATTCGGCCCGCGATTTAGGCTGGATTTTAGATTTTGGCCCCTTCTCTGATTGAGTTCGACACCCCTAGTATATAGTGTTATGATTAGGTCTCAGTGTTTTAGTGAGCCAGCCCCTCTGGACTGTGGTAGTTGTACACAATGGAATACCACGCAGTGGGGGGAAAAGAAGAAATTCTTATCACTTGCAACATCATGGATGGGCCTGGAGAGTATTATGCTAAGTGAATTAAGCCAATCAGAGAAAGGTAAGTATTACATGATCACACTCATATGTGCAATCTAATAAACAAAATAAATTGAAGAAAAAAAATAGATCCAGAGACATATAATAGAACTATGAACAGACTGATGAATTTCAAAGGGAATGTAGGGTTGGCGGGGCTGGAGGGGTGAGATTAATCAGGGAATTTGTATCCATAGATGCACAGCCCATGGACACAGACAGTAGTGTGGCGAAGGCTTGCAAGGGGCAGGTTCAGGGAAGAGGGAGTCAATTGGGGGAAAAACCACACAAACAAACAAACAAACAAACAAACAAACAAACAAAAAGGGGGGGCATCAGTAACACTTTCAACGGTAAAGATTAAAAAGAAACCACAAAACAAAAACATAAGTGTTCCTGTGTCCCCCTCCTTCTCCTTAGGTAAGACCGATGGCTACAGTGAGCTGGATACTTTCCCTCGTGTAAAACTAGAGCTGGCTGGATTGAGTTCTTTCCTCCCCAGGTCAGTGAGGCTCAGATAATACCACAGCAGCTAAGCTCTACTTAACTTTGTTTCCCCTGAAGACAGGCCTTGTTAAGAAGTAAAGATCTCTAACATAAGGGTTCCTTTCCTTCTCCCTGCTCAAATATTTGCTATGGGAATTTGGTGAGCTCCTGGATGTAAATCTCAAAATATTGTGGGCCCCTCCCTGATGACTGGCTTCCCCTGAAGTTTTTAACTCAGACGTGTGTGCACTGAGTCTCTAGCAATTCATCATAGCAGTTGAGGTTTCCTTACTCTGCCACCGTTCCTATAGTGTTTTTGTCTTTGCTGCAGTCAGCTGGGACTCCCTGCATTCCCCCTCTTTCCAATGTGAGGAATGGCAATCCTCTGTCTTCCCTCTCTTATGGACCCAAGAAAAGTTTGTTTATTTTTAAATTTTTCATTCTGCCAGTATTTTTTACTTTTGTTATAAGAGAGTTGCAACATCCAAGCTCCTTAACATGTAGGACAAGAAACCAGAATTTTAATGGATTTTTAAGAACCACATGGAGACTGGTATAAGAAAATAAATCCTAAAGAACCCCATACCAAGGCAAAAAAGTGTTTTCCTCACATTTCATTCTTATTTCTCTTCATTCGTGTGGATCTTACTTGGAAAATATGGAGATGGGAAGAGAACACAGACAGATAATCTATATTTATTAAGAAAAAAGAATCGAAGATAAAAAGAAAAAGTACATTGAATCCTCCAAGTAAACCAGAGTTCCATCTGTGGAAGAATGGGGAAGAAGCAGAGGCCTGAAAGAAAAATTTCATCATCAGGACTTTCTGCTATAAAACACTGAAAGAAGGCATGCAGACTTCAGTTCCTTTCTTCCTATCCAGATATTTCTGACTTCACCCACAGAATACCTGGCGTGGCACTGGAGAGGTGAGAAAATTTCCCTAGAAAACATTACTATCTTCATAGAATGTATAGAATCTCAGTTCTAGCCCAAAACAAAGACATCTAGGAGTAAGCTTAGAGATCAAACAGATGTCCTTAGCCACCAAAACTGCTGGCCTCTGTGCTATTATATAGGGTGAGGTTTCCAAACGTTTAGACATCTCATGGTTTATATGCAAAACAAAGCTTTCCCAAACCACTCCCTTGTTAAGATCCCATGTCTGAATAAACAGGAAATTTCCAACCAGGCTCTCCAAACATTTGATGCTGTGGTGAGCTGAATCACAACACTACCATAGCAATTATAGACTGAGCTTAACCTGCAGCACATATAGCCTCAGCCTTACTCTAGCAGACTGAAAGAA